ATTCTTGAATTGCTCTTGCTTCCTTAATTCCATTACTTGATGAGTCTGAGGGGGCCCTAGCAATTGTGCCTTCCAAGCTGTATGTTATTAATTTTCTGTTGCCTTTGCTTTAGGAGTGAATTTCATTTTCCAGTGAAACTGAAGCACTCTCCTGAACTCCAAATGGTTTATTGAGTACCCGAATCCTCTTCCTGAAAAAGTGAAAGCTGTTCAGTTGTGTCCGACTGTTTGTGATCCCATGGACTATAGAGCCCATGGAATTCTCCAGGCCAGAGTACTGGAGTGGGTACCCTTTTCCTTTTCTAGGGGATCTCCCAACCCAGGGATCACACCAGGTCTCCTGCATCGCAGGTGGATTCTTTACCTGCTGAGCCACAAGGGAAGCCCAAGAATACTTCAGTGGGAAGCCTATCCCTTCTCCAACAGATCTTCCCAACCCAGGAACCAAACAGGGGTCTCCTGCATTGTGGGAGAATATTTTTACCAACTGAGCTATCAGGGAAGTCTCTTCATAGCTCTTGCCAGATTCGCCCACACTCATTCCCACTCTCCTCAAATATCAAAGTGCCTATTTCTGGGTTACTTCCATTATAGGATGGGCCCATTCTCCAATTCAAACAGAAGTCATAAAAACTGCATCTAGTTTCACATCTCAAATTGGACCCCAGAAAACAAACACCATTTCATGAGGAAGGCAGCCAGCCACACCCCCATGAACATTGTGATCCACAGGCACTGCAAGCTGTCCTCTCATTTGGGGTGAGGATGTATATCAGTAAGTGTTGTTTAGTTGCAAGTGACACAAACCATTTCAGCATCTTTAATGAAAGAAAAGAGAAAACACATTGGAAAGAAGCTGAGGAGCTCACAGAGCTAAAGGAAAATATAAGAGCCAAAGTTCAGAAAGGCCAGAAACCAGAGCTGTTCTGAGCATCTGATGCAGCAGGAATGAAAGAACAATCTCTCCAGTAGGGCATCACTGGAATGAATTTACTGTGAACACATTCTGCAAGACTTCAAGCCCAGAGAAATGGCATCAGGTTGGCTAAGCTTGGGACATGTGCCCACCCATTGACCAGAGGAAGACAAACATCACTATTAACTACATGCAATAGAAGAGGGGATTTGATTTAGGTCATACCTGAATGGTCTAGTGGTTTTCCCTACATTCTTCAATTTAAGTCTGAATTTGGATATAAGGAGTTCATGATCTGAGCCAGAGTGCTTAGATCTGATAGAGTTCCTGAAGAACTATGGAGAGAGGTTTGTGACATTGTACAGGAGACAGTAATCAAGACCATCCTCAAGAAGAAGAAATACAAAAAGGCAAAATGGTTGTCTGAGGAGGTCTTACAACTAGCTGAGAAAAGAACAGAAGTTAAGGGCAAAGAAGAAAAGGAAAAACATATGCATCTGAATGCAGAGATCCAAAGAATAGCCAGGAGAGATAAGAAAGCCTTCCTCAGTGATCAATGCAAAGAAATAGAGGAAAGCAATAGAATGGGAAAGACTAGAGATCTCTTCAAGAAAATTAGAGATNCCTGCCTCCTGAGAAATCTGTATGCAGGCCAAGAAGCAACAGTTAGAACTGGAAATGGAACAACAGACTGGCTTATTTAACTTACATGTAGAGTGCATCATGTGAAATGCTGGGCTGGAGGAAGCACAAGCTGGAATCAAGATTGCCAGGAGAAATATCAATAACCTCAGATATGCAGATGACACCACACTTATGGCAGAAAGCAAAGAGGAACTAAAGAGCCTCTTGATGAAAGTGAAAGTGAGAGTGAAAAAGTTGCTCCAAATTCAACATTCCAAAAACTAATATCATGGCATCCAATCCCATCACTTCATGGCAAATAGATGGGGAAACAGTGGAAACAGTGACAGATTTTATTTTGGGGGGTTCCAAAATCACTGCAGATGGTGATTGCAGTCATGAAATTAAAAGATGCGTACTCCTTGGAAGAAAAGTTATGACCAACCTAGACAGCATATTAAAAAGCAGAAACACTACTTTACCAATGAAGGTCTGTCTAATCAAAGCTATGGTTTTTCCAGTAGTCATGTATAGATGTGAGAATTGGACTATAAAGAAAGTTGAGCACCCAAGAATTGATGCTTTTGAGCTGTGGTGCTGGAGAAAACTATTAAGAGTCCCTTGGACTGCAACGAGATCCAAACAGTCAATCCTAATGGAAATCAGTCCTGAATATTCATTGGAAGGACTGATGCTAAAGCTGAAACTCTAATACTCTGGCCACCTGATGCAAAGAACCAACTCATTTAAAAAGACCCTGAGGCTAGGAAAGATTGAAGGCAGGAGACAAAGGCTATGACAGAGGATGAGATGGTTGGATGGCATCACCAACTTGATGGATAAGAGTTTGAGTAAGCTCTGGGAGTTGGTGATGGACAGGGAAACCTGGTGTGCTGCAGTACATGGGGTCACAAAGAGTTAGGTACGATTGAGCAACTGAACTGAACTGAATAGAAGAGGAGTGATTCCTCAAACACAGTTGTGATGTTGTTACCAACAGGAGGGAGAATAGACACTAAGCTGTAAACAACAAAAATTTCCACTATAGAAATCATCTTGTTGCTGTGTGAATTCTCAGAGCACCAGTCTTGTGGGTTCCTAATCTATACACTTCTCTCCATTGTATGAAGTTTTAGCATTCCTTCTCACCCATTCCACATGGGTTCCAAAGCTTTCAACATATGAGCATCAGGAGTCTTCCAAGATATAAACCTCAAATAAAAATTAACACTGGAAAAGAAATCATCTTTTTCCAGAAGAGTCATTTTTTAGTATCAATCATGTAAATAACAATAAGAGCAAACTAACAAATCCCTTTGTTATATGAAAAAAAAAATTGTGTGTTTTTATCTTTTAGAGCAACCTTGAAAAGTCATGCCCTATATTTATACCAACTCTCAATAGTTAATTGACATGTTAACTTATCCATCTTTCCACTGAGCTAAGGATTTTTTTTGAGCTATTTTCCTACTTGCACTTTTGAGATTCCTCCATAAACTGCCATGTGGCAACACTTTAAATTACACTGTTTCACTTGGGCTCTCCCCATTAACCACCATGCCAGCATAGACATCTTGTGGTGTCAGCTCGTTCTGTCTTCCTATCTTTTTTTTTTACAAAAAGGCAGAAAATATTAAGAGCTCATTTCTCATCTTCATCATCTTTGAGTGCCTAAATGTTGGTCTTGGTGACAATCTTCAGAATAGATTTTTTTCAAGACTTGATATGGAAGGCCTGATACATATCACTATGACAAAGTTCAACGTGGATGATTCTGAAGAAGATGACGGTAATAGTAATACTAACAGATGATATGTATGAGCCTTTATTGTTCACAGGCTCCGCCCTGAGTACTTCACATGCACTATGCTTCCATACTGGTGGGAAGAGCTGGGAGAGAGAGATGAGCACAGGAGAGAAAACAGATTACTGCTGGAGCCAAGTCCCTGCATAGATGGAGAAGGGAGGGAAGAGAGGATCCAGAGCTCAAGTGGACAAGCTTCCTCAGATAAGAACAGGGGTGTCCATCATTATAACTAAGAGACTGGTTGATTTGCTTTTAGAAACATGAAGCAGTTGTCTTAAGACAAGTTCTAGTTTCTCAGAGAAACAAGAGGAAAATGGTAGAAGAGAGAAAGGTGGGTAGTTACTGGAGGTATTAGGGAAATGGCAGGCAACAGAGCTGCTGTTATTAACTTTAGCAGAAATAAAAGGCTGCCACAATAATCTGGAGAAGAGGGAAAAAACTGTAAATTCTAGGTGGAACAGCAGAAGATACTCCTGAGGTCATGCTTAACTTTTAGAAGATGATTCTGAGTTCTCACAAAACAGGCTGGAGCAGGGCAAATAGAAACAATCTTCTGTGAATAGTACAGCCCTACTTCTACAACCACCGCAATAGATGGACCTTGAAAAAAGAAGATTTCATGTGTTTTTTCTTCAATCCTTCTAAATCCAATAGTTAAAGAAGCAACACCATACACTTCTTAAGATAAGGTGCATCTATCTTGTTCACTGCTCTATCTCCAGTGGTAAGCAAAATGCCTGAAATGGAAGAGGAGTTTGATAAATATTTTATCAATGAATTGATGACTACATAGATGGATGGATGAATAAGGAATTTATGACATTTTATTGATCACAGTCTTGTCGTGGTGGGGGGGGGGGCTTGCTTAGTTCAGTGAAGCAATGAGCCATGCCGTGCAGGGCCACCCAAGACAGAGGGGTCATAATGAAGAGTTCTGACAAAACATAGTCCACTGGAGGAGGGAATGGCAAAACACTCAGGTATTCTTGCTGTGAGAACCCCATGAACAGTATGAAAAGGCAAAAAGATATGACACCAGAAGATGAGCCCCCCAGGTTGGAAAGTGTCAAATATGCTACTGGGGAAGAGCAGAGGGCAATTACTGATAGCTATGAAATGGTGAGATAGCATCACCAACTCAATGTATATGAATCTGAGCAAACTCTGGGAGATACTGAAGGACAGGGGAGCCTGGAGGGCTGAAGTGCATGGAGTTGCAAAGAGTTGGACACAATGTGGTGACTGAAAAACAGCAACAACAAATTTATAGTCCACATTCATAGCTTTTCTACAAAAAATTCTGCTCCATGTGTATAGCAGTGTCATGATTGGGTTTTTCCCAAGCTGCTACTCAGAAAGCAAAGGAAGTCCGAGTAGGATGTTTTTTTTACTAGGACTAAAAATGAAACAAATATTATATATTATCTGTAGATATTTATAACCACCTAATATTCCCCAACGTACTGGAGTAAGTGTCCCTCATTATCACTTGCTGGTTTAGTGGGAGAAATATTTTAGTACTAAGCTCTCCCATGAATCAGACAGAAGTCTGCTGGAGTTGTCACTCCAGGTATATTCTGCTCTCTCAAAGAAGTTATTCCAGTTGAAGTGGGAATTCCAGTCACACAACTACTCATAATGTTCTCTGCTTACCTGATTCAACATCTTCAACTTAGAGGTCTCTTTTGTACAATGAGAGTAGATAATGTTCCTCTTGGATCGGCAAAAAAAGTGCAGAATTCCGTTCTAATATGCCTAAAATTCTATCTATACAACGAGAGGCCACAGGTGTTGCTACAAGATTTCAAATAGGTGTCCTTTTTTAATACCCTTATCTCCCGTTTCCATATAGTCTTTGCGATGGCAGAAACTCATCTTCAGAGTACAAGCCTGTGTCTTATTTGATACCGCCAGCACTTAGCATGGAATCTGTAGAAGGAATAAACACATGATTGACTAATGAATGAATACTGAATTATTCTGAGTGACCTACCCTAGCTACTGGAATTCAATCTCTCCTCCACGCTGCAGGACAGGCAGCAACACTGAATGTTTATCTGAAGGCCTGTTCTACCTTTACAATATAGAGTTAAACATCTTTTCCTTAAGAATTAGCAAAGTAGTACAGTTGTCCTCCTAGTCCTATTTACTCTCACTAAGCAGAAAAATCAAATCCCTCAGGGAATCTCAGAGTCTAGCATTGACTGTTTGCTTTCAACTAAGAGAGAGCAAATACATTCACTGCTTCTCTCAAACTCTACTACCTCTAAAAGCCTACTTTCAATTTTCTTGGAGCTATTCCTTACCAATAACTTTATGGCATCTCTTGTACACAATTCCTCTTTCCAGCATTTTCTTCTATAGCTTACATTGTTTGAAATGCTTTTAACTGAATTCTTTGGGATGTGCATAAGTACAAAACTTGGCAATTATATCTAGCACTACTCCTTTGTAATAGTTTCAGATATTCTTCACTTTTGCTAATTTTAAAATAAAAGATAAGTATTATCCAGCCCCAAATTATAAAATCATTAAAATGATTTTATTTTCTGTTTAGTTCAGTTTAGTTCAGTTCAGTCGCTCAGTCATGTCTGACTCTTCGAGACCCCATGAACCACAGCATACCAGGCTTCCCTGTCCATCACCAACTCCTGGAGTCCACCCAAACCTATATCCATTGAGTCAGTGATGCCATCCAGCCATCTCATCCTCTGTCCTCCCCTTCTCCTCCTGCCCTCAATCCTTCCCAGCATCAGGGTCTTTTCAAATGAGCCAGCTCTTCCCATCAGGTGGCCAAAGTATTGGAGTTTCAGCTTCAGCATCAGTCCTTCCAATGAACACCCAGGACTGATCTCCGTTAGGATGGACTGGTTGGATCTCCTTGCAGTCCAAGGGACTCTCAAGAATCTTCTCCAACAGCACAGTTCAAAATCATCAATTCTTTGGCGCTCAGCTTTCTTTGTAGTCCAACTCTTACATCCATACATGACCACAGGAAAAACCATAGCCTTGACTAGATGGACCTTTGTTGACAAAGTAATATCTCTGCTTTTTAATATGCTGTCTAGGTTGGTCATAACTTTCCTTCCAAGGAGTAAGTGTCTTTTAATTTCATGGCTGCAATCACCATCTGCAGTGATTTTGGAGCCCAGAAAAATATAGTCAGCCACTGTTTCCACTGTTTCCCCATCTATTAGCCATGAAGTGATAGGACTGGATGCCATGATCTTAGTTTTCTGAATGTAGAGCTTTAAGCCAACTTTTTCACTCTCCTCTTTCACTTTCATCAAGAGGCTTTTTAGTTCCTCTTCACTCTCTGCCATAAGGGT